CAACGATAAACAATTGCTAACGAACAACAATTCGGAGTAAAGTTCAGTTACACATGTTTTGAAAGGCCGAAATATTTACGATTTTCTTTAAAATTTAATTTTAAAACTTTAAAAAATGAAAACAAATTCACAACACTATATCTTTTTAACCATTTAGTAAAATGTATGATCAAATTTTCATATATTTCTGTTTAGTCTAACAATTTTATCTAGATAACTACTGCCAAATAAGAATTAAATACAAAATTCGCAAAATTAAAATAGTTTATAAATAGCTTAAAAAAGAAAAATCAAAGAAACGATTCACTTACTCACTGATTAGAACAAAAATGCAACAAAAAATGTTTTTTATTGGAGCATTTTTTTTAGTATGAAACATATTTTACAAAAATTAAGTACAATGAAATCGGTAACACCGTGGCACGCCGTAAATATTCGGTGTTTTAGCTATAATTTTATTTCTGATTTTCCCAATTATTTTTAAAATCCCTTGCAAAATATAAAAATGACTTCTATAATGCATCAACTAGATAAAATTTTCTTTTAGAAAAGTTACTCTATTCTGTATATCAGAGGAATATTTCTGGTAGACAAGTTGTTTACAGACAGACACACACAGACACAGACACAGACACAGACACACGCACACGCACACGCACACGCACACGCACACACACACACACACACACACATTATAGTAAATCAATAGGTCCTTCGCTACGCCATGAATCTAATAATCTAGTCATGTTATATCAACTGATACTGAGCGTCATTCTACTGGGCCGTAAGTTCCCATCCACCGTTTTTCAAACATTTTGTTAAATTTTTGTCTTATAATAATTATATTGTTCGGTGGTGCCCTTCCCGTTGGAAAAATTAATTTTGGCGAATTCATAAAGGAACGTATTCTAAAATCATTGATTACAAAATTAAGAAATCTGAATATCATTTTCCATTAAGGATGCTGTCATACAAATGTAGACCTATCAAATTATTTGCTATTAATTCTCACCTCACATTTATATCTCCGCGCAGTTGGTCCACCCATCTTATCAGAAATCAATGATGATAGTGTTAATATTTAGGAAGTAATTAGCGTGAATCAGTCACTATTATCGAATTTGAAATATAGATAAAGAAGGTGGGCAAACACGTAGCTCACCCATATTAACCCAGAGGGTCGAAACTGGTGACAATCGATTCTTTATAATTATAATAATTAGCAAGAGTTTGCAGGTTTGGTTTTCAATTTGCAAGTTATTGTTTTTGAGTTGGCGATAAAATTTTAAAAAAAAGTGGGCCAACTTCACGTATACCACACACTTAAGACACCGTGGACGAACAACACTCACACATTTAAATATTAATTTACTATATTTCCGTATGATAATGAAAAATTCAATTATCAAACTACTTATGATGTCAGTTTGTAAAACTTTGTTTCACTAAATTTCTATAGGAGAATAATATTCCATTAAATTAATTTCTTAAAACAATTAATTTGTTACCGATTAGAAAATGTTTAAAAATCTGAAATCTTAATCACTATATCGAGTATATATTGTACATTATTATAATTATTAAATTATCTATAGCTATCGGCCCGTCCGCCAAACGATCAGCAAAGAAGTTTTTTTGTAGACCAATTATATTTATTTTATAAATATTAACTAATTATACTAAACTGTATATATATAAATTATACATAAGTAATAAATTACATAATATTATAATGAAGTATGATTAAGAGGACGCCACACCGACATATTATACTGTCTCCGTTTTACAAACGCGAAACAGCAAATTTGAGTCGGTAAATTATTAACTAATCATAAAAAAATTATATGGCAGATTTCTTGATATCATTTTTCAAAACTCCTTGCAGTCTCACAAGAGTGTTGATTAAACTTGCCATAAATGAAAATCATATCAACTTTTAAATTATTGTTTAAAATTTTAAAATAAAATAAATATTAATTGATTTAAAGAAAAATGTCAACAGTATTATAAGTTATAAGTGTTGTATAAACAAGTATAGTAAACATACAAGACTGAACAAACACGTTCCTTTTTGATAATTTAAATTAATGTACAATGACAATTATTGAAAAATAAAGTCACATACAATATACATAATTAATAAAAACAATTAAAAAGATATTTCAATAAATGTAGTAATTTATAATATTGTAATGTAAAGTCAAAAAAAAATTAATACAATTACAGGTAATAATATGATTAATATTTTTTTTAAGTAACCTATTAACTTGGTATTTTGAAACTAGAAATTTGATATATTGTAAATTGACCAATCACCTAGTATTTATCGCATGTTTGTTGGATTAACTATTTTTACTGTAATTTCTTTTCTACAATTTTGCAATTACCGCAGCGCATATTTTGTATTTAATAATAATGATGAATAACGATTAGCAGGGCTTGGGACTTTTAACACTTCAAATCCACTAAAAATCGTTTGAAACGTCAAAAAGTCTGATAAATGCACTTAGAAAATATTTAAAAAGTATAAATGGTAGAACAGTTTAAAAGTCTCTTATCTAACGACTCTAACTTCTTTAACTTATTAAACACAATTTTCAATTATTACAAAAATATTCATAAATTAATTTGTTTAAGTGAACTTGTAAGTATAAAAAAATAATTTCAGTAGGTATAAACGGTATAACAATCGCTAAAGCGAACTATTTATTTTTTGGTTAAAATGATTACCTTCGTCTAAACAACCACTGTCTGTCGCACGTCGTATATCTCCTAGTAATTTTATTTTAATCATTTACTATTGTAAAAAAACCGTACTCAGTCAATTTTAGGTTTAAGATCATAGACCCATGATCAATGGATCAAAATGAATTAGAAAAAAAAAAGTCTTAAGATAATGGAGACGGGTGCAGACACTTTTATAGGTAATTTAATGTATACCTGAAAGCAACAATAAACCATTGCCTAAGAAAAAACGATTCTAAACGCAGTTTAGTTGATAGTGATGCTTTGTATATATAATATATATATATATATATATATATATATCATATTATGGTAAAATAATTAATTGGGCATTTAGTAATATTTGTCACTCAGAATATAAAATATATTTAGAATAGATTATTGTTTTCATCTGGCCATTTTTGTATAGCTATTAACATTTTTACCTTGACATTATCTTTATACTGATAAATAATCTTATTTTAATAAAATAGTGTTCAGTTATTTGAACATAATACAAATTATACTTCAAGTATAATTCATGTCCAATTGGCAACCCAAACATTTTGTTTTACTGAACAATTAAACTAGACTATTTTTATATATAAAAAAACTGTTAACAGAAAAAAAAAATAACAATAACATTTTGTATTTGCTGAGTCTAAATTTTTAAATGTTTACCATACAACTGTTGTAAATAATAATACAAAAACCGATTTAAAGATGTTCAAGTGTTTTAAATTGTTTTATTGAACCAGTATATAATAATATATCTGAGTATATATATACAGTTTAGTTTTTATAGATACTTATTAATACAGAAAAAATGAAGTTTAACTAAGCAATTTGTTGCAATTTTTCGAATAGTTTTCTTGCACTATTCAGCCAGCCGATGTTTTTGGTATTTCTAATAAAATGTATTTGTTTACGTTTTATTTCCCTCTTTCACGCGATTATGTCAACTTTTTTAGCTGCATTTGATTTTAATAATATTACAGGAATGACTAAAGTCAAATCTGTAAATGGTATTTTTAAATTCTAACTGCGTGTCTTAGTAAATAATATTATTGTTTATAGAGTGATGTGTTTTTTGTTTTTTCCCGAAACTATTTTCGCATATTTATTGACCGTAAATTTTTGTATACCTATAGTTGACTGTCAGGTGTCAATAGTTCAATTACATCGATCATGTACCTAGACACAGATGGCATTTTTCAGACGGAAATTCCTATAAATTGAAAATATATATATATATTGTGTTCACGGTTTATTTTTGTTAATAAAATTCGGTCGACCGCATACTTACGTACGAGGGATTTTAAACTTTTTTTTTCATCAAAATAGCTCAAAAGTGATGGTGTGAAATGTATACGGTCACCAAAATACTATACCGTAAACATGACAAAACTAAATAAATACAATTCGAACAAAAACATTCACTCACTGCAAGTGATTAATCCAATAAGGCGTCAAAATTACTAATCGTCAAAACTATAAAGGTAAAATAAACTATTTATATACTAAAATAGTCAGATTCACTTAAAGAAAAAAAAACACTAATTATAAAATTAGTGTATTCGGCTAGTACGACACAACAAATATCGATGAACGATCAATGAAATATTATTACAAACATCGGAAATATTAGCCTACGATCAAACAAAAATCTTGCTTTATAAACTCAATCGGTCTGCTAATATGGACTTGGTTAATCTCATCCCACATGAAAAAAAAGAGTGCTACATCCCATCCGGATCGTACATTATTTCATAGTTATAAATAATTCACGTTGTAAAGAAGTGAAGAAAATAAGACCGATTCCAAATTTATTTTATACGTCATAATGATTTTAAAGTAACTTTATTATTCGCACAATTACGCGTACCTACATGTAAGCTATTTATCATATTTTATTATTTTCATAATATTATACCTACGCAAAATGCCAAAAACGTCTGTCAACCCCGAACTTTGTTAAGTTTTTCATACCAAGTTAGAAAAACATTTCATAATTAGGTATACCTACCTATAGGAAGTTTATTAAGACGCAACGTTTGGTACCTCCGTAATAGCAACTTTTTGCGGTTAAAAATTTAATAATAAATGCAATACGTACCTATATCATAAGTATAAAAACTTTATTCGTGCGGTTTATTTAAAGTTTTGGTGCATTTTAATACAATACAATATAGCTGTATAATATTATAGTTATGTATTTACGAAAGAAATTCTTACATTTTCTTAAATGGAAATCAGGGGCATCATTTTAGAGATTCAAACTATACTTTGGCAGCTCTATATTTTACAATGGTTTTTCGTCCTACATAGAATGTTATAATTGTGCCGTTGTTGATACATGTAAATACAATAAATCCATATACATATACATTCGAGGAGGAGGTGTTTTATGAATATTATAGATGTGTTGCAGAATTCGCACATTTGTTTTGGTTCATTTTCCATTAGGTGTACGTGGGTGCTGGTAGAGTTCTTGTAGATTGATTAGTATGTTTATTATTTATTGTCATTGTTTGTATATATTACTGGGTTGTCTCATTCATTTTAGATTCTGAGTGGAGTGAAGAAGCTTATGGTTTTACAAAGATGTTTATTTTTTTTATCTGTAGACAACTTTTCTACTAGAAGATTTGCTCCGATTTTTACGTATAGCAGTTTTATGAAAGAAAAACGGTGTGGGGAGGTACTTAAAGAAGGTCATTTTTCGATTTTCTCTTGACTTTTTTTAGTAAATGTGAAAAACTTGGAAAAACATGGGAAAACCAGGGAAATTGGTACAACATTAAACAAATATTATTAAAGAAAATATACAGCCCATTTAATTATTTAAATTTTTCAATGTTGCCGATCTATAAAAACAAATTTTTTAATTTTACGGTTTATTCATAATTGCCAACCGATTTCTTCTAATGTATCATAGTACCATATTTTAGTATTTCGTATTTTTCCATAACTGTATTTTCGCGATGACCGATAAGTACCTAACATCATACGGTTATACATCAATAAGTTATAGTGTTATACCAATTAAAAGTACTTTCATCTATAATGCTCTTCACTTTTTCTTGTTACCTACCCGACGTGATTTTGTACCACAAATCGAGGGTAATTTTCGATTAAAATTGTCCGTGTGAGCGCAGCGAACGTTACCAACTTGGGTCTCTAGTTCCACCTATAATGCTTTTTCAATTTTAACTGCTACTTACACGACTTGGCTTTACACAAAACCAGTTATTATAAATACATAATTTGAAACAATATTTTTTTCTCGTCGATTAAGTGTTGCTTAATGAGTGTGTGTCGATTAGATAAGAGAACAACACAGAATTACGTCTAATCGGTACGACTGCACACGTAAAAAACTGATAAATCATTGCACAATATAAAAATCAGTTTTTGAAATAACTATTGGAAATTTCGAAATATTTTCAAATAAATTACCGCCAGGAAATAAATCCACATCTGTCAAGGTATGACATAAACAAATCGGAGCATTTTTACTTACCATAAAAGTGTTACACAATAATAAAAAAAAAAATCGCATCATTGTAAAACTAAGTTTCCACGTTAAAATCACAATGTAAAATATAAAAAAAAAACTTGTGTTATTTAAATATTATCTTTTTCAAATTCTAAAATCATAAATTCTGCGAGTTTTTGACATGAATTTAATTTTAGAAACGAATATATATATATATATATATTGAAAAAATATCTCCGAGTAGTTTATTGAAATCGTTTCTATCACGTATACTGAATATAATCGCTGGATTTTTACCGTAAAATATCATTGACGAAAGTAAAACGAAAATATTATCATACTTTTAGCTCGCGATTTTTTCTCGGAGTCACGGATAAGCTTGTAAAATATAGCTTATAATCCTCTTATTGTATCACACAGTATACTGTGAAATAGTATCGTGGATTTTTATAATATAATATTATTATTAATGAGATAGAAAAAAATGTATTTTTAAACTGAAACCAAAAATAAAAACTACCAGGTACAACAGGTCACGGACGTTTTACAGAATTAACATATTATACTGTAGGTACGTGGTGTATAGGTATATATATTTTGTATACTTGTATATATTAGGCGAAAAAATACTAAAAGAAAAAATACTTCATTATTATACCTTACGAGTATACCCTAACAGACAATTTATATTTTTAAGCTCAGCGACACTTTCCTATTTCCTACCTCTGCGAAACTAGATAATAAAATAACAATAATTGTTCGAGTAAACACTGCTACGACCGAAAATGTACGCAGGTGTAGCTGCTGTATATACTATTATATTCTCCATGCGAATTATATTTTATAATCACGGCTGTTGTTTATACATAGATAATGCGTGCAACCCAAACGCTTTATCAAAATATTTACCGAAATTGCGTATCCAAACACTGCGTGATTGTGCAGTATTTACGGACGGAACGACGCATAAACTCTTACGAACTTGTGCCGTAATATACAATTACGAGCAGTTGTTTACCGTTGTCGTGTCCATCAACGGGTTTCACGGTTGGTTCCAAATGGTTTCTAAATACACAAGTGCTGTTTCATCATAACACCGCCATCGTGCAATTCTCTAATAATTTGAGAATGCCAAAAGTATAGAAAAAAAATAACTGTAAGCAGCAAGCAAAATCATTAATTTCTCCCTGGGTGAAAGTAAACATAAACTCAAACAATAAAGTTACAACTATTCAAATTTGAATTTAGTATCGGTACGAATATTGTGCCAACGATTGATTTAACGACTATGGACTATGACAGGGATGGCGAATAGAATTTTTTCAACGAATCAATTTATGACATAAAAAAACGTTCAGCCGTATCATAATTATTTTTATTAACATAGAAAAATACAAATGTAAAATATAAATGAAAAATTAATGATTATAATGTAGAAAATTATGTAAAAATGAAATTAATGTAAAGCAATTATTAAATTATTATTATTGTTTGTTAAAAACCTTTTGATTTATATTGGTTAAAGGCTTTTTTTAAATCTGGTTGACATTATGTAGATTGCAAGACAATACATGCTGTCGAATCTTCCTATGTTAATCTGTTCCTAGCCTTTAAATGTGTATGATTTAATACCGAAAGAGACTCTCGCAATCATAAGTTGAAGGGAAAATCGTTAACAATAAAATCGCCAATTTTTTGACGGTATAAAAAGTATCAGGAATATTATTCCAGATTTCTAATATTATGTTGTCAATACCGTAATCTGTTTCTTAGTTGTGTATTCGATGACGTTCCAATTCTTTGATACGCTCTCGCATATTCACATATTTGTTTGTCTAAATTTTATTAGTTTGCAAATCGATTAATTGCATTTTGAAATTTTCTAATGACATCCAATTAAGATAGTTATTATTAAAATCTTGCACATAAAATAATTAATAATTTTTATCAATTTTTCAATTCTTTTAAAATTATGAACTCTTTGTGAAAACTGTACTTTAATAACACCAAGAATATTTGAAAATTGATTAGTAAAATCCCAATTTGTTTGTTCAAAAATGTCCACTTCACCTAACATTTTTTTCAGTTTTAGGAAGTATAGACATTTTCCAGATTTGACATCGTTAATAAACATATCTATTTTAATTTCAAAGCCTTTTATTAATCCAAACATGACTTCAATTGTTTTCCCATGTCCTTGTAACTTTTTATTCAAAGTATTTAAATGTAATGCTACATCTGTGAAAAACATAAATTTTGTTAGTCACTCTGTATTATAAAGATCTTAAAATTCAGACTTATTAGCATGTAAAAATAGGCGAATTTCGTCCAAATAATATACAAATCTGTCTAACGATATGGCCCGGCTTAGCCAATGTACATTATTCAATTGTCCATAAGGTTAAAAAAATTTTTGTATGTGACATTTTGAATAAAAATTAATATTAATAACGTAAAACTTGCACGCAGTCCTATTCTCTCAATACCCGAACGAGAACTGATTATATAATATTAGCTTGTCCACACACTTTTTTAGTAATCTAATGTCTCACTATATTACAACATATAAATTATATTTTTTAATAATAAAGATAAGATAACAATACATTGCTGTGAAATATATATTAATAATGTGTGCAATTGATAATTCAGTTCATTGTATATTTGTATGTTACTTAAAAATCTATAAATATATATGGACAAATGGAAGTATGTCGATCGGAAATCTTATGCGTGCTAACCTTGGCACGCGGGCCTCTTATTTGCCATCCCTGGAATATGATATAAACAAGATGATCGACTTTTCTACTCCAAAATGTGATCTATATTATTCTAGTTGACATGAATTTTCCCTTTTACCTTTATTTACACCCGATATGGTTTTTCAACCACTTATTGTTTTAAGTTTTCGAAAAATGATTTTGAGTAGAGGATTATTAGCCGCGTACTTTAGATTCTGAGCGTAGCGAAGAATGTGTTGGTTTTACAATGATTTATATATATTTTTTTTTTATTTTTTTTATTTTGTAAGCAACTTTTATACCGAAATCTTGTTCTGATGTATCAAGTATACACACTTTTTCTGAAAAAAAATTTGATCTAGTTGTTACTTTAAACAAATCAGTTTTTTTAGTTTTTGAATCAGTTTTCATAATAATTATGAAAAAGTAGAAAAATTTGCTTATATGTAAAAAAAAGTCTTCGCTCCAAATCGTTTTTCGTTAGCAATGGATTTTTATAGCATACTAAATAAATTCTCCTCTGTATTCTACCTTTCCAACTTCTAACTTATAACAGTGACCCACCTATTGTGCGAAGTGTGCCAGTCTTTTTTTTCTTGTTGCTAAGGTAACCCAAAAATCAACAAACATTTTACAAAATAATGATCTCCTCAAGTCCAACAATTTCACAAAAATTAGAACTTTATTAGAATCTATGAAGTTTTTAATTAGAGCTCTTTGTTTAGAATCTAAAATTAATTTATTAGTTTAAAATAAATGACTTTTCTTATACACCGAAAAACACCTTTAACCCTTCCCCCTCTGGTGGTCTTTGATTAGAACTATAATAATAGGCTCCTGATCGAAACTTTGACGATGTTAAGACACGGAAGAAACATAATTTTATACGGTTTTGTATTCGATAACATGATTATATTATCGACATCACCTTGGTTACAATCATTGCCAGTATACCAGACAACACTGTGTATCTTGTAAACTATACACAAATCATTACTATAATATACTTATTTATTATATTAAATTATTCACTTGTGCCTCGTCTCCGTAATATAAAAGTAATAATACATTAATACTCGTAACAGTTTAGCAACACGATTTGGTGCCTAACCCGCTTAAGATTATTAAAGTTTTTTTTATTTTACTAACATAATATCAGAAATATAATTTATTTCGAACAAAATGAACATTATTACTTGTAAAAATGATAAAAAAAACACCGATTCCGACGACTGTCAGCCAAAACGAAACCTGAACAGGTAAACACATTTTTTCCATCGGCTGCATTTTTGTAAATTCATGTGCTAAATTATAATAATATTGCAGAATGACCGAAGACGTGCTCCGTGAAATATGCAAGAAAAATAAATTGTATCGTACGCCGCATCTAAACAATGTGTTATATCTTCATTTTAAAGGTAAATATACAAGGTGATCGCGAGTATATAGGCAATCTGAATTTATACTTTACTGAGATATTTGACGGGTTTTGTTTTCGATAGTATAGGTATATTGCGTTTGTTTTTCCGGTCAAATATAAAACGCCATTACGAGTTTTGGCATCACCGGGTAGTTTCCGGTATCATAGATTTGTATTGTCCCCGCCATTCATAGTATTTGTATAAAATCATTTCCACGGCGGTACACAATTGAAATATTATTGCTCTGCAGTATTCACATTTTTGAATTTTATCTCCAATTTTGATCTACAGTATGATCAATATAACATAAGATATTCACTATCTTTAAAAGTATTAACTTTACAAAATTAGTTTGTCAAAACTGTTTAAGAAACAAGCAGCTCTAAAATGCTATATTATTGTTATTTTTGTCACCATTATTGTGGAAAATAAAATCACTTTACACTTTTGATTTTCAAATAGGAACTTATATTAAAAATACTATAAATAGATGAAGTTTAAGTTTAAACATATTTTTATGTTAAAATTAGTAATTTCTGTACACTCGTTAACGAATTTGTCCATGTTTAAATTTGGGCAGAGGAGAGTAGTAAAGCATCATTTGTAGTACGTGCCATTTAAATAGTGTTCCATTACTATTTTCTTGCCCATAAAACAATAAACTTAAAAGTGAAACATCTCGTTAACGGGTTGACGAAATATAAAAATGTCAACAGAAAAATGTATTCAAACTATAAATTTATCTATTTATGGAATTTTGAATACAAGTTACTATTTGAAAATCAAAGACTTACAATGAAAAAAAATATGTATAATATTTCTTTTTAGTATATTATATAGTATAGGTTTTATTACGATAATTAAAACACAAATTAATGTAATTTATTTTTCCAATGACGTTATAAATATTCAGATCTTATAAATATAAATGCAAAATTAATTAAAAATATAAAAATAATTAAATAGGTAGTAAAGTTTCACATTTAATTGAAAATAATGTTTAAAAACTCTTAGGTAGTCTTCTATGGTTCTATTTTTATAATCATCACAGACATAAAATTTGTTGAATTTGAATCCGACAACTTTGCATAAATTTACGCATTATCAGAATATCTGTAGTAATAACAATAACCTGATAAACATTCCAAATTTCTTATCAGTTTACGATCTGTTTTTGGGTTGTATTAATTTTTTCAAAATTCAAAAATTATTTATTTAGTTAATTCATATAATAACATATTCTGAAAATAATCTGGTTTAATATTCAAAGGGTAATTTGTTATCTGCAAATATTACGATGAGTGTATTTTATGGTACCTATATACTCGCTTTAACAGGGGTATTTTTTAACAAGAATGGGAAAAAATACGTGATAAAAAAATAATTATAATTACGTCTCTAAAATTAGGAGTTCACTATTATAACAGTGACAGCATTAAAGGCATTGCCCAATTTTCAATCAATAAACGTGTCCGTCAGGATCGTTTAAGACCAATTATATATAGGTATATAGTTGTAAAAGTGTTGACAAACAAAAAACTGCGAAACTATATAATAGTTTCTCTTTTAGATTTAATAGTTATTACGAAAGTCTGTTGTAGGTTTAATAAAAGTGTACTATGAAGCAGTGGGGCGCAACCTGAAGGTCACAAAATGTTATAAGGGGGGCTGCTAATAATTTAATACCAAATGAAAAAGTTAATTATAATTAGTTTTACTAAGATGTTTATTTTTTTTTATATACTGTGTACACAAATTCTACCAAAAATCTTGCTCATATTTATACGCGAGGCACCATTTCTGAATAGGAATGTTGTCCATATAGTACTTTTGGGAGGTCATTTTTTGATTTTCCAAGAGGTTTTCATAATATGTAGGAAAGACCAGGATAAAACATAAGAAAAACGGAAAATTCACGAAAATAATACTTTTATTATTTTTTAATTTTGTTGTTTGTTGTAATTCAGTTAAAAATATTCGTGAAAACTTGAAATTTCGATAGAAAACTTATACTTACACTAACTAGACATGGCAAGATTTTCAAAAAATGTGAGCTATTTATAGACAATTAAATTTTGAGAATTTAAATTTTTTAGTAGTTTTTTGACTGTAATTTGGTTAAAAATACACGTAGTGACTTGAAATTTTGTAGTAATACTTATATTGGACTTACCTAGATGTGGTAAAATTTTCAAAAATCATCGGACGTTCTTTTAATTTTTTAACAATGGTACATTATTTTGTTTTATATACTGTAGACCACTTTTATCCTAACAAACTTTCTTCGATGTATAAGTGTATCACCTTTTCTGAAAGTCAATCTTATCTTCTTGGTAAAGTCAGAATTGAGCGGACTAAGTTTCAAAATTAAAGCTTTTTAAAGTTCTGGTATTATGCAGATATTATATGTTATGTTAAATAACTAAATTTTGTCTACTCTAAAGTATATTTGTCGTAGCTGAATGGTTATGAATACCTATTTTCATTTTAGGGTTCGCGAATCCGTCTTTTGAAAAAAATTTCTTAGATATTTTGTTCCCTTTTACCTAAACAAGAAAAAACTAATGTATTTTGGGTGTACCTAGTGACCCAAGCCATTGCTCACTTGGACTATTTTAATCGTAAAATACCACTAAATTTGTTGTGTAAACTTTTCAACTAAAAATCTTTTTATGATGTATCAAGTGTAGCTTATTTTCTGAAAGAAATTTTATCACCATGGTAAATTGAGAAGGTTAGTTTTTGATTTTCCCAAAAAATGGGAAACATTGTAAACAACGGAGAAAAACATGAAAAACGAAAAATGCACAAATACATGAGTACAATTTTACGGTTTTTTTTTTTTCTGTAGACAACTTTTCTCCAATTTACAATAATAGCATTTTTTCTACGAGGAAATTTGACTGGAGAGATGATTTGGTTATTTTTTGATTTTTTCAAGAGTTTTCCCAGTAAATATGAAAAACCAGGAAAAAAAAAACTGGGAAAATGAGAAAATCGGTACAATATTAAACAAATATTATTAAAGAAAATATATTATGCCTATTTAATTACTTTACTATAATATGACACATATATTGTTAACCAAGCATCATTTTCAATTGAACTCCACTCAGAATAGGTTTTTTCGTTAGCTATGGTTTAATGTTGCTTACAGATATACATTAAATTACCAGGGGCTGCACCCTACCTCATTATTCTTAGACGTCTTTTTAGGTTTATGTTTTGAATTAATTGAATTAAAGAAATATTAAAATTGCCTAAAATTAACAATTTAATTTATATGAATACAATTTTTGTATACATTAAGACCATTAAGTAAGTATGTATTATATACTTTATGTTGTTAGGAAGAGGAGTCGTATCATCAAAATAAATCATTTCGGGGGTCGTGGATAAAAAAGGCTGCGCACAACTACTTTACAGTATGTCAATAGTTTATCGTTGCCCATTTTAGGGTTCTGTGTAGCCAAAATTGCAAAAACGGACTCTCAAATATAATTTCTCCATATCCGTCAGTCATCTTATAAGTTCAACACTATTCAAATCGTATGATTAAAAATACAACTTTAGGTAATGGGGAGGGGTGCAGTCATTGTTATAGATATACCTGTAAGCAACGATAAACCATTGGTTACGAAAAAAAGATTCTGAGTGGAGTTCAGTTGATAGTTATGCTTCTTCAACAATTTATATACTTTATTATATTAAAATAATTAAACAAGCTCTATATATTTTCTTTAATACTATTTGTTTAATGTTGTACCGATTTTCTCAGTTTTTTACATTTTCTTAAAAAACTCTGGGGAAAATGGAAAAATGACTCCTTTAAAGTACCTCCCCATACCGATTTCCTTTCAGAAAAAGTGTTACATTAAAAATCTGAGCAAGTATTCTGGTAAAAAAGTTGTGTACAGAAAAAAACAGATAAACTTCTTTGTAAAACCATGAGCTTCTTTGCTCCACTCAAAATCTAAAATTAAAACTTTAAAAAAATCCAAGAAAATCACATTCGATAAATTCTTCTAACGAAAATTATTTTTCTTTTAGTTAATGCGTGTATAAATCACAGTTGACTTTTTTTATTGTTTTGTATTGTAATTAATAAGTAACATTTTAAAAAGTTAAAATTTTCTATGGAAAATTTGATATTCATACCGACAAATTTAAACCGTCTGGTAATACAATAATTATATTATTATAGTTTTAAACGCAAGATTTGATATTATATTAGTTATTGATACATTTAAATAGGTAATGAAATTCGACTGATCGATCAATGGATATTTTCCTCTACCTATATATCGCGTGTTGTGTTTATATTATAGGATTTTCAAAAATCGAAAACTTGGAATCCTATACGGGATTAAAAGCCCTATGGTTAGAAAACAATTGTATAACGGAAATATGCGGTCTTGACAATCAAACCGAACTGACGTGTTTGTATTTGCATAATAACGTGATAAAAAAGATCGAACATTTAGATAATTTAACCAAACTCGACACGGTCAACTTATGTTATAACTTCATTAGCAAAATAGAAAACTTAAGTGAGTTACAACGCGTGCGGACGACGTTTATTTTAGTTATTTTAACGAAAATTATTTCGTGCAAGATGTCTTACCGGTACTCACTATGTTGCAAATGGCACACAATATTCTCACTACCGCTAACGACATTGCTCAGTTGGCCGAATGTAAGGAATTGGCTATAGTCGATTTGTCGTACAATAATCTTAACGATCCAAAAATTGTCGAAGTGAGTATACGTGTAATATCGCGCGCTTCTTCTTATCCGAAATATAATAACCACCGTATTCTGTAGATTTTTGGAAAAATGAAATCGTTACGCGTGCTTACACTGACCGGAAATCCAGTGATTTCCAAAATAGGTTTCTATAGGAAGACGATGACTTTAGTGTGCGTAAGTACATATATACGCCATAATTATTATTCTTATTACCCATTATAAGTTATATGTAAATTATTGTCATAGAGAAGTCTGTGCCATTTGGACGAAAGAACAATAACTGAGAGAGACCGTCTGTGCGCGGAAGCGTGGTAATAAAAATTATTTATTGTTTTTATTTTTATTATTTATTAAAAAATTATTTACTGTATATGTATACATTGTTTGTCAATGTAAAAAATAATCTAATCCTTTGTTTTTATCCAATACGAATGGGTCAGATAATAGCTTCTCCGTATTTTCATTATCCACGCCTCACGGGTAAATATCCTTTCCCATTACTTCATCAACTCCTATAGCTCCTCGATATAACATTTTCTTCGGCCACTTTTTCTTTGGACTACCATCACGTTTCAAACTTCCGCTGACACTCAACTTATCTAATTTTTTCACGACAATACTATTTTTCTCGAGTCAACGTGCGCCCAATGCCATAGTAATAATGAAAACCGATTGCATCATTATACAGGAGGATAGGCGGATTGGAAGCCGAACAAGCAACAAGGAAAAGATTGATAAACGACGATTACAAACGGATATCTGCCTCGGTAAACGCGCTGATTAAACGACGCAAGCAGGGTTGTGACAACAACGATGACTTAGATGATGGCCACAGCAGCACCCAATCGGACGGAAGATTTGTCTGTTCCGACGACTACTCAGTAAGTAGTGATTCGGAAACTTCTTCAACAGATGATGAACTGGCCGACAATGTCCACCACACGGATGTCAAAATTGTAATGCTACAAACACCAGACGAAGTCACTGAAGAAGGAGGTCACCGTTTACAAGAAGAGAGTCACCTTGCTACGGACTGTAGACAGCCCAGTTTATCGGACGAGAAATATGCCAATATCGTTTTCAGCGTTTCCGAACCGCCGGCGTACGCTGAAAGAACTGCATGTACGAAGAGCACTTTGGTCACGTGTGAAAAAACGATGTCGGACGGATCGAGCGAAGTGTCAGCAATAGCCACTGTCGACTCGTGCGATTTAATGATTGATTGCGATGCAGCGCATAAAAAACGACAGTCGGATTCGACGTTGCTGACCTATGACGGCGATGGCGTGACAGACGTTGAGTCGATGTTTTGGGCCGGTGACAAACAAATGGGCGACGGTTTTGCCGAGAGGGAAGAATACCAGGAAATTGTGTGCAACGTTGTTTTGCCGATTGACGGAGATGAGACTGTTGGCAATGGGGATGCGTGTCACACTATTATTCAATATCCACCCGTGGCGCTGTGTACCGACATCAATAGTGACGCCGGCAGCGATTATGACACATGCATAGACGGCAACTGCGTCTGCGATAACGATGACTACAGTTCGGACAGTTCATTGTGCAGTTGGTTCACGTGCAAATCAAGCCTGTCGCACTGCTAAAACGAGACGATCGAACCGCCACCATCGCCGACGCCACCGAAAAAAAAATCGACATATATCCAGACTCGTACTTTTTAGTGTGCTGCAGTGACCCGTGTCTTGTATTTTCAATTTGTAACCACGTGATAAAACGTGAAACCATATAATTTTATAAAATATATTCAGTGGTTTATTTGTAAAAATATATAGACAATACGTCTTAACTTTAAGAATAAAGGGGAGCTAGGCATTAAGACAGCCATTAAGAGGTTTTTCCATTATTTAATAAAGTTAAAAAATAAAACAGAATTCTAAATATAAAAAGATCAACATACTTTGAACGATGGGTGGGGACCACTGTAGTAGATGAGAAGTTGGGAAGGTAGTATATAGAATTTAATGTACATATATCTGTAAGTAAAGATAAATCATTGCTTATGAAAAACAATTCTTCTGTCTATAAGAATAATTTTAACTAAATTTCAACAAATAATAAAAGTATTATTTTCGTAAATTTCCTGTTTTTCTTACGTGTTTTTCCCAAGTATTATAAAAACAACTTGGAAATCAAAAAACTACCTCCGTAAAGTATCGTCTAAACAATATTTCTTTTTAGAAATGGCACCACACGTACACATCGAAGCAAGATTTCGGGTAGATATTTTTGTTATAGTATATAAGTGTAACATAGGTACCCTGCAAAACTCCCCATACAATTTACAATCCTTTGCTTACTTACTTAAATCCTTAAATCTCTTGAAAATCGCAGAAGCAGACTCGATATTTTATTTTATTTATAAATTATTAAAAGGCTACATTGACTGTCCTAACTTCTTAACCCGTCCATATTTTAAAGTTTCTTCAGCTAACACCCAATGAAATAATCTTTTTTATTCAAAATCTCAAACTACTAATTAAGCTTCAAGCACACCACTCTTAAGAATCATGAACACTAAATAATTATAACATTAATCTGTTTTATTCTATTTCCTTTTATGCATTTAAAAATCATGTTTCTGCTAATCTATCTATACTTATATATTGATACATCTATAATATTAATTATATTTTGTTTTGTTTGTAAAATAATTAAATATTTTTTATTTTAAAAAATCTTTCTGAATGCTATGTATAATAAATTCATGTAATTAGATTCTATCCCGTATAATATTTCAATAAATAAATAAATAATAATAATAATAATAAAACCAATACATTCTTCGCTACACTTGTAGAATCTAAAATAAATCAATTATATGGTTCCAAGTTTAAATGTCCAATGTATACAATTTCCAAGAATTTGAATTATCCAAATCGTCAAAGTGATATTAAACAATCAATTAATAAAATGTTCAAAATACTTTGAGTGTTTAAAATATTGACAATTTTTGCACATTAAAATACATCCAAATTATTATAAAAATATTTTTTAAAAAAAATCGTATATCTTATACTAGTATGATTTATTCCATTTCAATCCTTTATTATTTTTTGAGTTTAAAGTATCGTCGTTTATTCTAAGACAATGTAGACATTGTATTTTATACCGCATGCGCATAGTAATGGCGAAAATAAATGTATATAGCTGGCACGCCTATATCTGTAGTTTATTTAGACACGAGTGGGCAATGGGCACGTAAAGTATATAGTCTAGGGGAAAAAAATACGGATCCGAGAAACCGCATTCTCGTATATGAAAATAAACTAACGTGTTTCAGGAGGAAAAAGTAAAAAGGGACCAAAATAGCGGCGGCACCTCCACCGGCTGTGTACTTTATATAATAATAACAATGCCGCATATAATAATATGAATGTCAGTTTTATTCCGAACTGCGGCAGTGACAAATTCGTTTCAATTTAAATGAGTGTAAGACGGGTAAGTTATATACGTGGATTATCGTGGTAAACTGCAATCGCATCCGTCCGTGAAAGACGGCAAATGATTTGGGTATATTTGATTTTTTTTTTTATTATTTGTAAATAGACGCAGTCAGATTTCACATCATTTCCACAAAATACGAGTATTATATATTACATAAGTATGTATACTTAATCCTAATAATCATATCTAATCAATATTATTTTATAGTTTTAAATTCTCGTGTATCATAAGCGATATGAATTTTATGAAAATATTCTTTTTATGATAAAAAGTGTATAGAAATTATAGCCATAATGGCCTGCAGCAATACTAATATCAGAAAATACATCTAACACACTGGTAAACCTGATACTGTTCCAAGGAAGTTATAGTGGCTTTAGGTCACAAATCTAGTCATTGAAAATGAAAAACAACAGTTGCTTTCACATAGTATAATGCACAAGAGTCATACAACGAAATTATGGTACTATGATATACCATAATATTCTAGAGGGAACAATTAACAGGAGTGAAATTTTGCACTTGGCTTCTTGTCAATTTTCTTTTAACTATAGCAATATCTAATCTTATTTTATTTATTAATTATTTTGATAAAATTGTATATTTTCTGAGAGTTTTTATACCAAATTATCGGTTTAATATAGTGTAATACGAAGAAAGATATACGAATTTGCCATTGAATTCATTATATATATAAATATCTATATATTGATATATCTTGAAAACTTTTAAATTTAATTTTTAGGTTTATAATAATTTTGCTTACCACATGCCATATATCTTATCAGTTATCTCTTATAACTCTTATCACTTATCTTTTATACTTAATACTGGATAATAAATATGCATAGATAATATATACATGGATATCCCTGTAAATAAGACAAAGATGTCTGCTCGCCATCCTACTTATTCAACTTATTCATCAAAGGAACTATAAATAAAATAAGTCAACACAAATGGCATCTCTATTAACGGTCAAAAAATACATTTGATCCGGTTTACTGACGAAATTGCCCTAACAACGGAATTTGAAGAGCCTGAGGATCTTGAACTTCATGCTAAATTGTTTGGACAGAATATTAATAAAATTTAGTCTTAAAATCAACATAAAACAACCAAAAGTGTTTGTAGTGAGCAAATCAGACCAATAAATACAGCAAACATCAAAATTAGGGATGAACCAGTCAAATAAGTAAAATGATTTTGCTATCTAGGAAGCCCAATTACGGAAGATAACAGATCAACAAAAGAAGTTATGAGAAGAATAGCCTTAGCAACACAAGCATTTGAAAAGAAAATATCTGTATTGACTAAAAAGAACTTCAAACTAGTAATCAAATTAGGACAAGCTTCATCAAATCGTAAACCTGGAGTTTTTTATATGGCTGCGATATATGAACCCTAAAGAAGTATAAAAAAGAAAGGTTGGAAATTATGGAGATGTGGATTTGGAGAAAAACAACAAGGACGAGCTGAAAGAAACGACGTCATCTTGAAAGAAATAGGTGATGAAAGAAACATAGTTACAGCTATTAAGAAAAAGAAAGTGTAGCTCATCGAACACCTATTAAGTCATAATGATTTTATCACAAACATCTTGGAGAGGAAGATTCCTGTCATTGAAAATAAATGTTTAATAAAAAATGTGTCTTAAATCACTCTAATGAATTAGGTTTATTGTGTTCTTAATATAAATTAATATTATTAATTTGGATCGAAAACCGTTTCCTCAAATTTCTGACAAAATTTATTTTAAAAATATATATATAATCTGCCCCATGAAAATATACCCCTCGTATATCTCCGAAGATATTCAAGGGTATATCTTCGTGGAACAGCCTGAATATATAATATATATTTTGAGATCGCACACGTACATTTTCTTGTAATAGGTACTACAAAGTAATAATTAGAAATTTAAATGTCTAGTAGGTTTTTTTTTTTTACATTATTTACGAAGAGCGCATACTCTCGTTAATGAGACGTACATAAACATTTATTATTTTAATGAATACACGGCCTTTGAAAAGTCGTATGCATAAAAATCATTGTGCATGTCGTCGTCTGTGGAGGTCGCATTCATTCGATATGTTTGTTTTTGTTTTTTTGTTTTTTATGCATAGAAATATTATTTTTTTAACTGAAAAAAGAAACAATTAAAGGGTAGGTAGTATAATATGATGGCGTGTAATGCTGTTAAAAAATAAAAAAAATATCATATCCGACGATGTTACCGACGCAGTATAATGTAATAAATAATTATTATTATTATATAGTATTTTATGTATTGCGTAGTACAAAAAAAAACTAAAACTAATATATTCGCTTCATTCAAAACCTTAAAGTTGAGTGTAAAGATGTAGATTTTTTTCGTAAGTGTTTTGGATTAAATTTTGACTAAAATAATAAGATGTATGGCATTTCAAAACATCTTTACTTGAATTTCGCACAGAATCATACTTCATTAGACAATGATTTATCATATCGGTTAACGATACATAACTTACGGATAATGTTATACCTTTATAACTGATTGCCAGAAATATTTATTCATTGTATATACATTATTTTTCAAGGCAATAAAAGGACATATTTTGGTTCAGAGTTTTTTCTCTTCCTTCTTTCTTTTTTTCTTCTTACATAAACGTTAATTAAATTAATCGTCCGTCGTCAAGGGGCATAGACGGACCCCAAAAAACGTCGATACGTTAATCTAATATTGTATATAAAAGATCGACTCGGTCGAAGAATGGAGGGGACGAAATAATGACGTCTTTGTCGTATCTTCCGACGATTTCCAAACTGCTTAACTTGATTGCCTGATGTAGCCTCGTATCTTTCGTCCAGCACTAATCAAATGATAACTATCTTACTCTCATTTTTTTTTTTTTTGTTGTGATATTTCCAGAAACACGAAGTTACAAAATGAGTGAGAACGAGTTACAGTTTAAAATGTTGTGACTTCCTTTTTACCCAAAGGTATTCACATTATCAAGGTGTTAGACTACTGGAAAAGAACATTTTATTCTTGTAAAACTCGTTTAGCCTGTAATATTTTGTTCGTAACATTCGTATATTTTTGTCTACTCCTCTGGTCTAAACTTTAAACTGTTATAACTTATTAATTATATCCAAATTAGAGTTTTACATATCAAAATATTTAGAAGAATATTATTCGAATCTATGTAAAAAAGGACGGTTTCTATTTGAAGATCAAAAGCATTTATATACTTCTTAAAAAATAGTTTTTAAAAAAAGTTTAAACGTTTCCGAAATGTTCGAAAAAAAAACAGAAATCGAATTAATTTCAAATTCTCCGAGAATACTATTAGTTCATGATAAAAATGATCACTTTATAAACATGTTCTACGATAATCTGACAACATGAAAATAATTTTTTTCTATTAAATATTTTTTTAAATAATAAGTATGCCTCTTAGATACAGTTAATCTATTCATTTTAGATACTAGGTAGAATGAGAAATGTATTGGTATTATTTTTTTTATTTTTAACAATTTTTCTACCAGAAATTTTTCTCCGATTTAAAATGACAACACTTTTTTTTAAAAGGAAATCCGACTGGAAATATTCTTTAAAAAGATAATTTTTTGATTTTCGAAGAGATTTCGCAATAAATCGAAAAAACCGGGAAAAAAAACGGAGAAAAATAGGAAAATGTACGAAATGTAAGTATTAGTAAAAAATATTACGGCATTTTTTTTCTGTGAACAACTTTTCTACCAGCTACTATTCTACTCCAATTTATAATTATAGCAATTTTTTTGTAGGGAATCTAATGGGGGTGGTACTTTAGGGAGATCTTTTTTTGATCTTATTTATTGTTTTCATAATAAATGAAAAAAATATGGGAAAACGAGAAAAAACTTAGGAAAAAGGGAAAATAAGTACAATATTAAACAAATAACAATAAAAAAAATATGTAATGTATATGTATTTATTTTACCACAATGACATATTATATTTTTATATAAATGACAAAGTAACACTATCATCCGAACTCTGTTAATCGATGCATACAGATATATATATATTAAATTTCCTCTCCACTATTTTCCCAACTTCTCACCTACGATAAAGGCCAACCAACGTGTGAAGGATAACCGTCATTTTTTTTAATACAAATTTATAGGAATTCGAAAATAGTTATAATATATAATTCTATTAGTAAATTATTATTACCTGAGTAAATAACATTAGCACAGAAATCGCCAACATTATTATTATTTTTTTTTAATTCTGAGTGAAACAAAGAATCTTATAGTTTTAAAAAGATGTTTATTTATTTTTTAATTTTTTTTTTTTTTTTTAAATTTTTCGATTTTCTTAAAAGTTTTTTCATAAAATTTGGAAAACCGAAAAAAACGGGAAATCATACGAAATATATTACTATTTTTTCACTGTGCACAACTTCTATACTACCAATTTTAGTCAAAGTTTTAATGATAACAATATTTCTAAAAGAAAATTTCACTAGCAAGGTAGTTTAAAGAAGTAACTTTTCAATTTTTTTAGGAATTTTCCCAGCAAATGTGAAAAACCGGGTAAAACATGGGAAAACCGGAAGAAACATAAGAAAATTGGCTACATTGGTACAACATTAAACAAGTATCATTATAACGAAGATATAAAGCCTTTTTAATTATTTTACTATAAAATGACGTATATATTATTGACAAAGCATCACTATCAACTGAACATCGCTCAGAATCGTTTTTTCGTAAGTAGTGGTTTATCGTTGTTTATAGGTATACATAAATAATCTATAACAGTGGTTGCATCCGTCCCTGTTATCCTAGGACGTCTTTTTAATTGTATATTCTTTAAAACAAAAACTTTTAAAAAAAGGAAAAGAAAAATAGTTAATTTTGTTAGGTGCAGTTGTTTACTGGGAAAAAGAACTCCGTGATATTTTTTAACTAATATACTTATGCAAATATACTCCTAAATTTTGTACATTTTCCCGGTTTTCCTAGTTTTTCCAATTTATTCCAATTATTCCAAGTTATTTCAATATTGGAAAAACTCCTGATAAAATCAAAAAATGACTTCCCTAAAGTACTTTCCTAATCAGATTTCAATTTATAAAATTGTTTTCATCATAAATCGGTGCAAAATTGGCGGTAGAAAAGTTGTTCACAGATTAAAAATAATAATAATAAATAAAATAAACGTCATTGTAAAACTAATACATTCCTCGTTCCACTCAGAATCTAAGATGTTTTATTCACATTTGGTTTAGAAGGGAGAAGAGTTATTATGTATTAAAGGTGTACGGATTAAGTGTAAAATATTAAAAATATTAAAAATAAAATCGATTATTACGACTCAAAGTAATACCAAAATATATTTTACTCAAAATCTTCGTTGATAATCGCTGAATCAAATTGAAAAAAACGTTCTAGGATAATAAATACGGGTACAGCCACTGTTATAGATAATATGCACCACCTGGTGCAGGGGGGAAGTTGGGAAGGTAGGATATAAACGGGAATTTCATGTATATCTGTAGGCAACGATACACCATTGCTTACGAAAAAACTATTCTGAGCGGAGTTCAGTTGATAGTAATGCTTTGTCAACAATATAAATGTCATTTTATAGTAGAATAATTAAATAGGCTTCATATATTTTCTTTAATATTATTTGTTTCATGTTGTACCAATTTTCTCAATATGCTTCGTTTTTCTCGGTTTTCCCATGTTTTATCCCGATTTTTCACATTTGATGAAAACACTCCTAAAAAAAATCGAAAAATGACCTCTTTAAAGTATCTCGCTAGTGAAATTTCCTTTTAGAAACATTGTTTTCATTAAAATTTAGAGCAAAATTGCAAGTAGAAAAGTTGTGCGCAGAAAATAAAAACCATAAGAGTTTGTTTATTATATTTTGTAAATTTTTTTCGGTTTTTCGCATTTGTTGAGAAAACTTGAAAAATGATTTCCTTTCAGAAAAGGTGCTACACGTAGAAATCCGAACAGATCTTCTGGTAGAAAAGTTGTGCACAGATAAAAAAAATAAAAAAAATAAATAAATAAACATCTTTGTAAAACTATAAGCTTCTTCGCTCCACTCAGAATCTAAAATCTCCCTTTATACTTATTGAGCTTTTAAACTTTATTCGCTTTTTTTTTTTTTATTTCACACTTGCATGTAAATGTTTTTGTGGCTTGAGTTTTACGGCAAACGCGTATTTGAGTCGGTCGAAGAAAAAACTCATGGTGAAATATAAGTGCGCGTTTGAAAAAAAAAAAACAAAAAATGCTTATGCTTCGAGAAACTCGTTATATTGAAACATCGCTAATGACAAGCATTTGTATTTTTTTTTTAGTAGGTCCAAGACAATGCGTTCTAAGTATAGTCTTTTCATGTATCGCATCAGGCACATATTAAAAATGAAACTTTCGGTTTGCTTTTTTTTTTAAACATTTTAAAAGGATTTTTTTATACTTTTATTGCGATTTTTATTATTATTTTCTTTTTTAACCAACTAACGAGACATATTTTTTTTCTTTTGACGTGGTTTATAACATCGTCAAATTGTGTAACGTCACGATATACCGTCACAAAATGACGGTCAATTTAAAAAATCCACAATCGACGTCAGTAGTGATTATCTAAAACGAAAAAGTTACTTATTGAATATGTGTTATTTAGAACATTTTTCAAGTGCATGTTAAAGCATATATTTTAAGGAATTTTTACTATGTGGTATTATAATTTATAACTAATTAGGAATAAACCTTGTTCTTTGTAATTTAAATGAGCCCCCCGGTTTTTCCCAGATATAATGAAAACCGCTTGAACAATTAAAAATGATAACATTTTCTTTCAGAAAGTAAACTACACTAGATACATCGGAGCAAGATTTCTGGTAAAAAAGTTTGTATAATAAATCGAGCGGTATTTTGCGATTAAGACAGTCTTGGGACTCTAGGTTCACCCAAAATGCATTTGTTTTTTCCATGTTTAGGTAAAAAGATGAAAAAAATGCAAACAATTTGTTTAAAAACTCACTATCTCTAGAATTTCAATAGAATATATTACCATTCGAATATGACAAACATATTTAAATTTGATAAAATTATTCAATATAACATATAATATCCGTATATTATCAGAACTTTAAAAGACATAATTTTTGAACTTAGTCAGTCTGATCAATTCTGACTTCAATATGGTTTTTAAATAGGCAATAAACATAGGTATGTTCAAAAAAAAAAAAAAATTGAAAAATTAGATTTATTCCGCATCATTTTTTACGCAAACGATTTTCGTCAAAATTTGATATTAAAATTCCTTTATAAAATATAATACTACATTAAACTCAATTTTTTTTTTTTTACCACTGAATAAGACTCTTAATACATTACAGCCGCAGGGGTGGGCCCGGCCCTACAAATTATATATTCCGAATTTTCGAATATCACTTTATCTATAAACAATCATAATAATATTGTCCCAATAGTACGCAAATTGTGACCCGTGTGTTACGACGAAAATCAAGATGGTATCAATTACACATAGTTAAACTAGTGATGATTAAAATTGGTCTTGAATCTTGCGGTCTCGCAAGACTCTTGATACACACGATCAAAACCAAGACCAAAACCAAGATAGTATTAGCACTAGTAAGGCCGAAACCAAGTTAAGGTTTACAAGACTAAGACCAAAGTCTGTAAAGTAAAGTCTGTAAAGTTGATGTAGTCTATACAAAAATAAATTTATAATTTTAAAATAAATTACCAGAAAGTATTACTCCTACAATACACCGAAGATCACATCTTGGGCGATCTACATCCCGAATTTTTATTTTTACATTTTCTCCTTCTTTTCCTGGAAAAAAACAATTTTCAGACAAATTCTTCGTTGTCTTAGCTTGGACTATAAGATTTTCAGTAGCGTTTGATTGATTCAAAGCAATTTATTTATTCTTAACTTTATTTTATTGTTTTCATCTTCGTCAGAAAAAAATTTGTTTTCACTTTCCTTATCATTTTCGTCACTTCCATTACTTTTTTCGTTACTTCCATTACTTTTTTCGTCATTTTCATTACTTTTTATTTTATACCTAAGAGTTTTTTCTAAGTCTTCTTCTGATTTTAAAATGGAGATTAAATCTGTTGAAATTTGGGTTGATTTTAAACCAACTTTAGCAGGTGAATGTTGTATGTGATTATTTCAGATTTTTAATACCCTTTACAATGATTTCAATGACAGAAGAACTTTTAATTAAGTCAGCATATGATTTTATTGCTAAGTACCGTAATGATATTGATAGTGACTTCACACACCCAATAGTGAATAATAGTTTTATCCTAAAGGATAATATCACTGACTTTAAGAAAACTACTATAACAGATCTATCATTATTTTTTATGATTGAAAATCTATCAACTATTTTTCCTGATATATTTACAGCTACAATCATATTTATGACTATACCAGTCATTTCTTCTTCTGCGGAGAGGTCATTTTCAAAACTAAAATTATTAAAAAATTATCTTCGTAACACCATGTCACAAGATAGATTATCAAGCTTAGCTATATTAAATATTGAACGACTCCAAATTTCTGAAACATATGTAGTTAGAATAATAAATACTTTTGCAAACGCAAAATCCAGAAAAATGAATTGTTTACATTAAAACTTATGTTTGGTTAAATTTTGCAATGTACGTTTTTTTTAATTTTATAATGTTAAAAGTTATTTTTTGTAAAAATAATTGTGTATTTTTAATAACTATAATATCTTATGATAAAAAATACATTTTTAAAATTAAAACAAGGAGCTAATAATACAAAAGTGATAAAATATTTATTTAAATAATTGGTATTGAGTGGGTATATAATATGTATTATATACATTACATAGGTACAAAGTACTTCATAAATATGTAATGTTGTGTAATATACAACAATATTAGTGTATAATTTTATAAAAACAGAAGTAAAATATGTTTGAAAACCAAAAAAATATTAACACTTGCTACTCGAATTAAAATTAATCTAGAAATGGGCCCAATATAATTACTACATACGAGACTCTTATTCTGTAGTTGCGGCACTGTATACAACAGTGTTTATCACTATGGATCATAGATTCACAGCTGATAATAAATATGGCTTTATTCTTTAATAAATAATATTATAGACAATGTTTAAAAGGTATCTAATATTATAATATTATATTAAAAAATTAGTAATTACTAATTATAATAACAATAATTAAACATTATTGTGTGGAGATGAGGAGATGTGGTAAAGAGAGACGTAGAGTCATTAAATGGAGGCCCAGATTGGAAAACAAAAGCAGTTGACAGAGAGACTTGAAGGATTAGTTGTTTGACCAATGGTTTTCGGGATAGTGCTAGTGGCTGTTAATATCCAAAAAGAAGAAGAAACATTATTGTGTAATGTGTATTTTACTTTTCATAATTAAAGATAACTCAATTATTATCGTATATTATTATCAACTTTCAGTCAACCACATTCGAACCTCTCCTAACCACTTTGGTAACCATCGTCTCTTCGGTCATACATATCGTTTCATACATAACGTATAGTATACATGGCCCTTCCATATCTTTAGTATCTATGGATCCGGTATCTCCATTTTTATAATATTGTCATCAGTTAGTATTGATCCTAAATAATTAAAGTGGAATACTCTAAAACTGTAGTTTTCTACAGTCATCGTCTCACTTTATCGGTAATTAACCTCTCTTCTATTTACATTAGATATTCTGTTTTATTATCATTGACTTTCAATCCAACTTTTTCCGCTAGGAAATTAATATATTAATATAAATGAGTATGAAAAAACAATGGAAAAGAACACATTCTGTTGCGGACATCGCTAACGGGTAGAGATAAATAATTGGACGAAAACTACAGGCGTAGGCCTTTAAGCAAAATAAACAATTACATAACACACATATGATTCGCAATGATAACACATATCAAAGGGATTACAACTTAAATAATTATGCTGGATGAGCGGAAGAGAGAGAATCATGATGACTACAGAGTCACGTAAAATTGAGCGCAGTTCAGAGACCAGCGGTAACTTTTTACATAAGATATATATGATCACAGTCTTTTGATATACATACACAGCTAAAATATTTCTTCATTTTACCTATAATTTTAGCTCTCTATTTCTTATAATATGTTCTTAAGTTCTTTATTTTCAGAACAACAATGTATTCAATCGTATAACCAAAATAAAAAACTTGTATCTTTTGAATCTATTATAGTACGCTATAGTATAAACTGCAATTAATAAAGCTCACAATATCATGAGGCTAAATTTTAACGATTAAAAAAATAATAAGACTACACAAATAATTTGCCTATACCTATAATATTTTCAAAGATTAACCGTATTATAATTAAGTAAATTCGTAAATGATCACATTACCGATACACAATCAAAGCAATTATACCACCAAAATCGTTTATTCGAAATTAAAATCGAATGTATAAAGTAAATTTTAATAAGATAACCGTCACCCGTGATTCGACGGTAAAACTGTTTCGCACAGGACAACTTTCTTACGCCATATTCATTTAAAATATAAATACACAAATAATAACGTTATCTGTGCTATAGAGTGCTTATTATTTTGATAATATACCTAAATACAATTAACTTTATCTGCTAGTGAACATTAATTTTTGTTATTGTTTTTTTTTTTTGTTTTTTTAATTACACATGTAAAATTATTGGGTAGTACACAGAATAATATGTGTGTTTACTGTATTTTAAAATGTTGACACCTCTATTATAAATCCTTAAGTTGTCCTGCACAACACAGTTTTCCAACAACATTTTAGTTTATATCGTAATAACACAATAAAAAATAATAATAATTGTGATAACGATAGGGACTAGGTACTAGTAAATTTTTTTGAAATTGAATTCAAATATTTTCATTCATAAATCTATACTAAAAATGCATAGGCACAACCCCCCCCCCCTAAATACAGATATCAAGTCTTCTCGAGTATAATACAAAAAAGTACGCGAAATCTTCATTTATTTAAAAATCTTCTTATATAATACATATATACCGATAAGAGTTTCTACCAGATTTCATTTTTATAAAATAATTTATTTCATTTTTTTATTATAGCCGAAAAATATACCCAATATATTACATGTATGTGTATATACCCGACTAATAATGGTAGTGCTAAAGTTATAGCAAAGTTTTGTTTAAATGCGGTTTTACTTCATGGGTGTGCCTCGTACATAAAATTCTGCGAAGTGACAAGTTTTTTTTAAAAAAAATACGCTTGTAATAAATTAATAACCTGTCAACTGTAGTCATCGTAATTGGTCGACAGAAAGTGAACGCGTGACACGAAGAAACGAACGATAATCGAGAAAAAAATATACTCAACATATAATATTATATAGATTATAATTATAAAAAATAACTCATGTTAAAAACAACCTATTTTTTTATAATCAAACTTCGTCGGACTCCATTTCCATCTACCCGCTTATATTTAAAATTTGGTCACATCTTTCTGCGTTTAATAAGTTTTATTTTCAAAAACCGGTAGCTACTCATTATAGCGATATCTTTTTTATGCCGTTAGTAATTATTTATTAAAATGTTTTTGCATTTTTGATTATGAAAAACACATTTTAATACATAAATATGGTTCATTCAGAATCAAAAAAAAAAAAAAAAATCCGATACTACTGATGGATGTTTCAAGGTAAGTTAAAAGAGCAGCGATATAATATATTACATAAAATAAATTAATTTAATCTGAACGCAACGATAAACCACTGCTAACGAAAAACATTTTCGATCTGAGTATTTTTCCCTTGTTGAGAAAGTGATCCAAATATCAACAAAAATTATACAAACAACTTCCAGTTTTTTTTATTTATTGGGAAAAATGAAATAAATATCAAAATATCACATTCTTAAACCATCAACTAGATCAAAAATTGTAAGTAAAAATAAAAAGTAAGATTTTATAAAGTTTTAGATTGGAGCAAGATTTATGGTAAAAACGTTTTTTAAAATTAAAACCAATACATTCCTTCATTCAAAATCGAATCCACATTATCAGCCATCAAACATTAACCAGATTATATAATAATATATTAATAAATAACTGGATTTAAAATAAAAATCACGACTTTTCGAGGGTCACGATCCGTAGGTATCGGCAATGCAATAAATGGGTGATCCTGGCGGCCAATTCGTTTTATTCTCTGGGCATTTGCCGCCAGATATAACAATATTATAATATTATGCGAGTTTCGCCGGTGGCACGTTCGCATAAAACGCAAGTACGTGATTTTTATTGAGTTTCAGCTAGGCGCCGCTGCCACTAGAGACTGAATTATCTTGCAGCGATCAACAAATTGTGTGTGATAAATATTACTTACACGATCTGAAATTATTGACGTATACCGATCTTAGCAATCAAAAGTAATTTACTCATATCGAAAGTGGTGGGCTGGCATCAGTGACATGCTCAATAGGGAGAGGGTACATTCCCATTAACTTAAAAATAAAACAACTATGAGTATTTAGTATTCAGTTAGTATAATCTTAAAATATCTATATTTTAGTCAAGTTGCTAGGAAGATTGTAAGGAAAAACAAGATTTATTAATTGAAAATTGGCTTTTATATTTCTAATATCGGATGGAAAAGAGAAGACGGTTTATTCATAATTATGCCAGCCTGAGAAGTGGGGGGGGGGTTAGATACAGAGAGTGTCAGATGTAATGCATAGACATGTATTTACTAATTATTGATACAAACACACTATTTGTACTTCTGAAGAGATGTTTAAATACAAGGAACACGTATATGTATTCAATTATCGGTGGCGATTGGCGAAAAACAAAAGCACAGTTTGGAGGCAGTTGTTTCCCAGGTTAAGCGGTAAAATACCGTTTGTTTGCTTGCATAACTGGGGAGAGATGTTAGGAGATCACAGTCTGCTAACCAAAGTGGTAAATTTTTAGCCGTCTAGGACTACTATTAAAATATAAATATTTTTACCTAATCCTTATCCCTGCGTGTAAGTAATATATAAAAAAAAAAACAAAACATAATTTGATTATCTTTATAATCTCAAGAGATATTTCAATGGGTATATCTTCATGGGACACCTTTATAATAATTATTTACAAAATATTAGGTATTACAGTCGATTTGGATCCATTAATAATTAAAAAATATATATATAATCTTGTGTACGATACACTAGCTGTAATTTTATAAAAAATAAATATACTTACTAACAGAATAAAACAAAATATACAATGTTTTTTGTTGTTTTTTTTTTTTTATGTCCCTCGGTAAAGAATATAAGGTCGTTTTTAAATAATTTATTTGAAATAAAAAGTTCACTACCTACCTACGCTAAACTATTTCCATAAAACGACAACAAAAAAGAGTATGCAGACGTTTTTTACATTAAATCAAATAAATAAAAAATGCAGCAGCAGTGCCAGCTGTTGATACTGATGATAATACTGGTATGCTACTGTTGTAGGTGAGAATTTGGGAAGGTGTAGGATATATAAAATAATATATTCAACTCGAAACCTAACGATATATCATACTTCATGGAAAACGTTTCTGAGTAAATTTCGGTTAAACTTACGGTCAAAATTTTAGTTATCATTTAAGCATAACATAAAATGAACGTCCTATACATTTTTCGAACGTTTTGGCTAGGCTAAAACAGTTTTATCCTTATTTATATTCCAGAAAATATGTTATTCTTAAAATTTGGACAAAGATTTCTGGTAGAAAAATATAATCTAAACATTTTAAGTAAATGAACTCGTTGCACCAAAATTTGAAAAAAATCATATTTCTGTCCTTTTTGGTTTTTCTCAATTATTGTGAAAAATACTTTAAACATAAAAAAAATTTCTTTTTCTATCAGTAGCTAGATATTAAATGGAACATAAAAAATTTATCTTATCATTTTTTGATTGAAACAATATTTTTGGTAGAAAACATATTTTGTAAAAATTAAAAACAAAGAAATCGATAACGCCGCGGGGCATACACATGTTACCATTTTACTTATAGTTTTTTTCTTAGTTTTTATTATTTTGAAACCCCTATGAAAAATTAAAAAATGACCTCCTCAATAATGCATCAATTAGATACAATTTTTTTTCAGAAACGGTGCTAAATTTCATATATTTGAGTAAGATTTATGGTAGAAAATTTGCTCACAGACACAAAAAAAAAATAGAAGTACAAAGACAAAAACACACACTATAATAAATTAATAGATCTCTCGAAACCCTTCGAATCGAAACACATCATAGGAGTATACGAGGTGTGGCTATTAAATAACGAGACTGGTTACGAAAGTGTTTTATTATAAAAGTTATTCTACATTCAAATGTTCCCCTTCAGTATACTCCCCTCCCCTCACCACACACGGTTTCATTCGTTTCTTCCATTGCTCGAGGCAGTGCTGGAAGTCTGTTTTCGTAAGACCATTCAGAATTTCCGCCGGTTTTTGTTTCACCTCTTCCATCGACTCAAACCGGATTCCTTTTAATGCAGACTCTATCTTCGGAAACAAGTAAAAGTCACAGGGTGCCAAGTCGGGTGAGTAAGATGCGTGTTCGAGAACTGGAGTGCCTTAAGCGACCAAATAACGCTTCACAGACAGCGCGTTATGGGCAGGTGCGTTATCCTAAAACTGTCAAATAGTAATGTTGGTTCACAGTTTGACACTCTGGAACCCATTCAGTCATCACGAGGCCGTTGATATCGAAGAAAACGATCAGCATGGTTTTGAATTTGAATTACAACTGAATTGGATTCCGGTGCACTCTCGACCTTCAGAAAATAATTTATGCCACTCAAAAACACGCGCCCGAGATAGGAAATCCTCACTATAGGCCTCTTTTAACAACTTATAGCACTCAGTTGGAGTTTTTTTTTAGTTTAACGTGAAAANGTTTTGGTACGTGCATAGATAAGATATCTAGATACCCAACGCATTACTCGTTTTTTTCACTACCCATCTAGGGCGTCCTCTAGGCGAGTAGTCTCGTTATTTAATAGCCACACCTCGTAGTTAAATTGAAACATTCTTAGCTACACTCAGAATCTAAAACACGTATCTACTGTCCGTAATGTTATGTGTATAATATTATTAATTATGTATGTAATAATTAATTATTATGTATAATATTATCATATTATTATCCTTGTCAGTTAGATTAATTTATTTTACGCGTCATCACAATAATATAGGTATGGTAGGTGTAGATTCATATTAAATACGAATGCTGTTTATTCGAATCTTTGTTTGATGGTGTTCACCGCCGTTATATAATTTTACATTTATAAATCATAATATTGTATACGAAATGAAATCGGACGGAGAAGAAAATATATACAACTTTCTCTGAGCACAGTGAATCTTCTGACTTCGTAATCGTTATAATATTACATAGCGTATAATAATATCATAGTTATAATTTTATTGATGAATAATATTATAATGGCTTAAACCCTTTAAACGTCACGATGAGCTTTACGAAGAGAAAATCCAAAAACGGACTTAGGATAATAATTCGTGTTATGATATAATACGTGTCCAAAATTACCGTCTCGTTGCTAAACACGAAAATCCAACGGGCGAACGAGAAATGAGTATTTTAACAATATATAATACTTTTACGTTCCAACGGCGTCCGATTTTAAGGGTAAAAAGAAATAGGTTGTTCCAAAAACATTTTACCGATACACAGACAGATCCAATAGATAATTTTGTACCAATTTAATTTTATTTCGTATGTGAAATAAATGGAATGAAATTCTAACGTCGGGCCACAAATTTTAAGTGTGATTACATAATAAGTCTGCAGTATTTTTTGTTTAAGAGGACATTATCCAAGTATTTGTTGCCTCTCTGTCTTAGAACCACGTAGAAATTGCGTTCACGCAAAACCACTTTGTGCTTTTAGTTTTAATATTAGAGTGAATTGATCCGTAATAAAAATTAAAGGTAAGACCATCTGTGCTTGTACGCTGGTTTTTTCGATATTTTAATTTCTAAATGAGACACAGGCATTTTAAAATTGTGATATTTTACAAGCTTATATCTCGTTTAGAAATTAAAATATCAAAAAAAAAACCATGTATACATATTATTCGTATTTCGTAACGACCTATGTATTATAATTTATTTGGGCTTTCAGGGCGTTTATATTATATTATATAGGTATAACCTATTATATCATATTATTATATATTATAGCTAGTGTCGTTGCTGTGAATTCGACGGGAAAATTCAAAACATGATTTTAGACTTTGTCCGACACGGTTTTAACCGCATGCGGTCGGTAAGTACAATAGAAATAATATATCTACACAATGTATCGGTAATGACCGAACGGGTCGAATAGGTGCCACCACACCGCCACCACGCGATTGTTCGGCCGTCTTGTACAATAATAAAAGCGCGCCTTTTTGTATATATTATATTATTATTATTATATATTTATTATATTATTTTCTATAATATACAACACAAGAATGCACGATCTCGATTTTTGTCTTTGTTTGATGTTTGCCATGACGTGAGAACAAAATTTACCGCAGGGGTGGGGGAAAGCTATTGCAAGTAAAAAAGACTGATACTGCTGATGATAGAAGAAAAAAAATGCACCGTTCCACTGTTTTAGAAAAGAAGTTGAATTGGAAGTAAGAGTAATTTAAATTTATATCTATCTACTGAACGATAAACCATTGCAGTCACGAAGAGAGAACGGCGGTGTAGTCAATTTAAAATCATGCTAACGGATAGAAAACATTATAAAACCATATTATTGTGATATGAGGATATTTCCTCTGTTTTTTTCGGAGCATAGCCAATAAGGAATCTTTTAGTCTTACAATGATGTTATTTTTTTATTTTTTTGAGGGCTTTAGTTAAACGAACTTTAGGGAAGTCATTTTCCCAATAAATGGGAAAAACATAGAAAAAAACATTAAAAAAAAAAACGGGAAAATTTACGAAATGTATCATATTTGCAATTTTTTGTTTTTTGTTTTGTTACGATTCTGTTAAAAATATTGTTGAAATGTTCCTGAAATGTTCACAGAACACTTATATTAATCTTAGACTTAGGTACAATTTTTAAAAAATACTACCAATTTAGGAACTATTTATAGACATTTAACATTTTAGTTTTTATTTAGTTTAATGTAAATACAACATAATACGTGGTTTATTATCAAGTTAACTTAATAGTAAAAAATAGTTATATTTTAGCATTGTTTATAAGCGTTTAAAGATATTAACATATTATTTGATATAATATGTCAAATATTGAAGAAAATCGTAATAATTATAACATTTCAAAATATGGATAACTGAACTTCGCTCAGAATCTTTTTTGTCTATCTGGTTTATCGTTTCGTAAAAAAATAAATTAAATAACATTAAGTACTTAAAACAGTAATACAGCCATCAACAGTATCAGCCTCTTTTAATTTTTTTTTTTTTTTCGAAAATCAAAAATATCACAGTATTTCGCTTACTAATTTTCCGATTTATGCAAATAAAACTTATTTGCCTCTCTAAACATTTTTGAAAATTATAGAGCCAAAAAACTAGAAAAATTGTAAGGTTTCGAGGAAAACGATTATAATTAGTAATAGATTAATATAGAGATTGATCGTTTTTTGTCCTGTTTTACTCGAACTATTTAACTTTTATTTGTCAACAAATAAACAAGTATTTTTAAAACTCTACTGCAAACGCACGGATCTTGATCTTTTTTTTTTTAAATTGAATCATACCTCAATTCGTTTAGAAATAAATCAAAAGATCATGTAACCATCTTCATTTTGACGATCTACTACATGATCGCTTTTCCCCGCAGTATTTTGCTGTAATTAATTTTTTGGTAGAAAATTAATACAATTTTCAATTAAAGTTTATCAAAATATTATGTTTAACCAAACTTTGCTTATAATCGGTTTATGTTTTCAACGATGTATTGTCACTTTCGGTATCTATACTAAATATAAATGTATTACTCTACCTTACCGATTTTCATCTATACAAATATAGTGCACACTGCCCACATGATCCTAAATATTTGCTGTTCTTTTTTTTTATAAGAGTAATTCTAGTAAGAATTGTTTGCATCTCGAATTCTGCTACACACACATATTTATACACTGCAGTTTTATCACAGTATGTAATTTAATGGCTGCAAGAGTTCATGTCCATGACGGGTGTCTGAATATTTTTTTCTACCAAAAAATAATAACATCGTCAAGAACCTACGTCGGTTTATGTGCTGCAGTACATAAATGATGAAGCCGTATAATCAAGATGCCCACGCCAAACCCAGACTAAACGTCTCCACGAACTTGAATCCTCAAATGTCGTGATACGACCGTATTATAATAATTCTTTCCATCTCCGCCGTTTTTTTTTTTCAATTTTAAAACCACCCCACTGATAAGTACGAAAAAAGTATTATTTTGGCGAAACACCGTCTACAATTAATCGCTCATACAGTTACATCCATATAAAAATTTGCTCCGTAAATACTTTTTGACTGTGTTTTCATATACCAACAAGTGTTATCTGACAAAGAAGGGAAAAAACAAACATAATAATACAACACTATATACTTCGGTATAATCATACAGACCGAAATTAGAGGTAGCTTGAGGGGGTTATGTCCAAGGGCGTATTCAGCTCATCTTCCAGGGGGGGGACGAAATTCGAACTTCAATTATACTTATAAATATTAAATTATTAGTTAAAAAAGTATATGTCTATAAACGGCAGTGTTACAGATTATAAATAAATTAGCAGTTCAAAATTTTCCGATCGTTTCGCTTGTTTAAAACTTCAATAATTTATTTTTACCGACTTTGATAACTATTATTAGGAACTGAGGATAATAAAGCCCTAGAAAAAAACGCCCGAAAATCAAAACCACATAAGGAAACAAAAAGCTCAAACGAATAACGAAAAGGTCCCAAGAAAAAAATACAGTTATAGGCATCTTAAGAAAATTGTTTTATAAATATTAAAAAGAAGGCTTGGTAAAAAGCACCATTTTAAATTAAAATAATACATTTAAAAAAATAAAAATTGTAAAAATAATTACCTAGTTATTCAAAAACATGATTTAGGTATATAATTGCTTATTGCCTACTTTTGTTGTAAATTTATTAATCTATATAAATATTTATCTTATTTTTCTAATTTATTACTTGAAAAACCCTGTACAATAAAATAGTATAAAATAATATGCTGTAAATAATAATTCAAAAATGATAATACATATTACGTAGGTACACATATAGGCTATCTAAAATAAATCATACTTATGTATTTTATGTTACTATGGTGTTTAGGATGAGACGATTTTTTGAGGCGCAGAGAAGGATTTTAATATACAATTCAGTATTTTAAAATATTAGCCCCCCTCTTAAATTATGGAAAAATTCCGCTTACGTATATACGCATTAAAAATTCTAAAAATGTTCAGAGAATTTTAGTTAAAATTTAAATTGTGATTAAACTTATTATTTCCGAAATTCTATACATATAACCCCGAAAATACTCAAATGAATAAAAAATATAATCTATTAAATTCCCGCACGTCTATATAGGATTATATTATTTTTTGAACAACTGAAAATAAATATAATATTAGCATTATACACACGTGTGGTAGTACCATTTATTTTACTATATTTTTTTTCTTTATAGTTTTTCAGTTAGTTTATTATTATTATTTTCATTTATATGTATAGGGAAATTCGCTATAAACTATTTATTTATAGTGCACCATGTGTTCAATTAACACACTAACAAAATAATAGTAATACGTTTGTTGGAGATGTATACACATGTATAACTAACCCCGAAAAAAATACAATATAGTGAAGTTTGAACATATTATTATAATATATTAATATAGATTCCTATGACTTGAATAATATTTTATGACAGAAATCATAATATCCCATGGGTGCAGGCGGTTATATTGTATCGATTATAATATATACTATGTATACCTATTAATTCAATGACAATCAAATTTAATATAAAGTTGTTAAAATAACAAAAAAACCATAACGATAATATTTTTATTATGCGGGCACTACCTACTGTTGTGTTTTATTTTATCGAGTAGTCTCTTATTATTATTATTTCTTCGTTTTAAAAACAAACGCGTTTAATCAATATTCGTGAATGATACGCACGGTTTAACAACACTCGATAAGTATAATATAACAACACACACAATCGGACACATTAATAATGACTGACTTCATATAGAATCTACTGGAAATACGGTCCAATGGACTATCTGGGATTAAGTTCTTAAGTGGTCTATGCGGTTCCTGGGAAATCCGGGGAACTGCTTCATTCCCGGTCTTCTTAGATGGTAAAGACCTCTTCGTGGTGGTGGACATTAGTTGCGTCGTAGATTTATCCCGGTGCGAAGCTAACGTGTGAAAATTCTCGTTGGGCGGGCGAGTGTCAGTACTTCCCCACCGAGGTTGTATCCGGCGAAAGATCGAGACTACGGGCTCGCCTCTCCACGTGGTCGTTCGGGAGTCTTCTCGCGTTCCGATCGTTGGGTCACAGCGTGGGATTTTCTCGGGCGATTCACTTATCTCCGGCAACGGAGATTGTGTTATTACGCGCATGTCGGCAGACTCCTGACTGCTTCCAGTGCGAACTGATCATTTATTTCGTCGGTAGCTGAATGTCGAGATATGTCCAACTTATAACATTTATGAAAAGTAGTCTGGGTGGTCTCCGGAGTCCAAGCGTTGACCCATTCTCGACGCCGAACGGAGACTCAGGTATCGGCCGCAGCCTCGTGTCGTAATCGTTGCCTTGCGGTTAGATTCGAGTTTCGTTGGGTAGTTCAGAGGCTACCCACCCGACGGCGACTAAACCCGTGATCAAGCGGCGGATGAATTGGGTAGCGGTTGCTGGGACCGCGCTCTGATGCATTGTCACGTATCCGGGGTTTCCTCGAACCTCTGTGCCTCCTAAATAGCCTAAGGCTAATATAGGGTACGCAGTTATACCGTCGCTTTATGTGTGGATTAAAAATTAGGAATACCTGACTTTATATAGAAAATATTTAACAGCAAAACTCCGTCACTAGAATAGAATTTTCCCCAACTGACTTAAACTTGCTGTAATTGGTCTGAAATTGTTATAAATGACTGAAAATAATTATGGTTGCCAGGGTTGTACTATATTTTAATCAATAGAAGTATTTAAAACTTGATATTTCCTGAGGAAACGTGCAATTTAGGTATCAAAATGATTGGCACAGAGGTTGAAAGTTAAAACTACCAAAAAGCAATTTTCCATGATATCACGTATAAACAAAATTGTATCCCCCCGATTTCATTTAGGGATCTGTAGGAGTGTACACTGCTAAAAAAAAGGAACCATCTCCCGAACAACATTGCAAAGATAAAAATTTTTTTTTTATATTTCATATGGCTAAAGATAATATTGAAATTCAACAAAAAATGTGGCACTTCAATCCGCCTATAAAAAACAAAACTCTAATTCTCAAGTTTAAGCTTTGGAATTTGCTAAGGTTTAAGTTTAGGAGATCCCCTAAGAGTGTCCAAAAGTAATGAGAAAAAAAATATATAGGATTATTTAGTAAGCGTGCTCATCATATTTTTTGGCTATATTTTGTATACATTCAAATTCTGATTTTTGGGATTTTTAAGTATAGTGTAAAGTCAATATTTTCGAGTACTTACTTAGATTTTTCAAAACATTTAAGAAGTATCCTATGGCATTTGTTTTTTTTTTTCAAATGAAGGTTCTCATTTAAAAATTCCATAAATACACAGAGTATTATTTAAAATAAATTTTGATGTCAACATTTTTGATTTTCGTCAACCCGTTAAGCGCGGGTTACACTAGGCTGCTATTGTCAGCCGTCGATCGGCTTAGTGTGACCACAAATTCGTTACTATCTTCACCAGCCGGCGAGTATTTGTCAGCGGCTAGTGAAGTTGGACGTTTTCAACTTTTGGTAACAGGCAACGGTGGCTAACTAATCACGAGACTACTTGTACCAGCCGGTAGTGCAATCTGATCAATATTGCCACTATCTGTAACGAGTAACATCGTCCCAAGTCGTTTTTTAAAATCCAACAATTGTTGAATTTGAAGTTTTGTCATTATTAAAACGTTCCTATATGTTTCTGGATCCTCTTTTTCCGACCTATGAAAAAGTCTGGAAGATGCTCCTAATTCTTTTCTTCGTATTCATAGCCTAACCACCATCGTTTCTAATTTTTGTTATAATAGCTGATTAATCATTTCTGAAAAAATTCCCCTCACACTATTTTTTAACAATCACTTAAAAAGTTGTTTAATCTAACAACGACATTTTTGCTGAATAAACCGGGCAAATTGTGTATAAAGTAATACTTGGTCTATTTATGCAATTTTTAATATAGGTTTTCATTTGAAAAACCTAAATTAGTATTACCATAGGAGACTTCTTAAATTTTATGTAAAATCTAAGTATTCGAATAAATCAGCTTTAAATATACACATAAATACCAAAAATCAGAATTTGAATAATATACGTAGACAAAATTTAACCAACATAAATGGAGTGAGCACACTCACTAGGTTAGAGTAGTCCTTAACGTACTTTCAATTTTTGATCAGAATTTGATCAGAATTTGTTCAAAACTATAAAAAAAATAATAATAATTTGTGTTAAGTTTCATAAACATTGGTCAACCCTAAGACGTACCTCAAAAAGGTAAAAACACCAGAAAATATGTTTTTTCAAAAGGGGGAGGGTTCTTTGTAATTTTCTCATGTTTGCGGGCAAACTTGGTAATCTCGTTCTGGACGAAGGTGATCATCATATCTCGGTGGATAATGTCGTTTCTGTCATATAGTTGTCGCATTTTCTTCTTAATTTGCAATTTTTCCTGTCTAACGTGATACTTCTAGTTGAGCCGAGAGTCCAGGTGCATTCCTAGGTATTTTGCTGAGTCACACTATGGGATACTTTATTGATCTGGTAATACCGATTTATAGACGGTTTACGCAAGGTGTAATTTACGTGCACCGATTTTTCACTGTGCTGTAAAATATTTTAAGTAAATATTTTTCTTAAATATTTTAAAAACCATTTACTTGAAATATTTTGTGATTATCATACAATATATATTTTAAAAATAACCATTTTTTAATTTTTGAAAATATTTATTTCTAAAATATTTTTAAAATACTATCTATAACGACATGATATTATACATTTTAAAACTATTTTACGTTTTTACGTGACCCCCGATGGTATGGTTTTCGTTTTCCGATTTTATTGAATTTTTCATTTTCCGAAAATGCGTGTTTATTCGCTCAGTGCGGCCGGCTGTTCTACAACACCGTTTCTTGCCGTTATTAGTCGTCGCGTATTGTTTTACTACGCCTCACCGTATTTCGCAGTTTTCTGTGTTATTTTCACTCGTATCCGTACGTTTTCTTCGGTTTAACGATCGCAAAACGTTTATTTTATTTCGCCGTCGCACGATACCTACCACTTTTTTCGGGCGTTTGCGCATATTAATCGAATATCCATCGGATATAAATAAAATTTATATAACCCTAAAAGGATAACTTTTTTCGAAAATTGTAGTGGCTAGGTAGGTAAGTAGGTTAGGTTTGGTCATCCCGATTCGTTACCTAGCTTTTATTCGCCGGGTTTTTTACATTTTTTTTTTCACGAATGTTTTTCCAATTACTTCCCCCCACGATTATATTAACATTGTTATAACTGGCTTTTCTTTCTCAACAAATGTTTTTAAAATACAATAGAAAATATTTGTGAAATGATTAAGAAACATTTAATGGTTTTTTTTTTTTTTTCATCAAAAAATGTTTTTAACATATTTTTAAAACATACGAAAATGATTAGAAATTCATATGAAAATATTTTACGTTTTCTAAAGATACTTTGAAAATGTAATTTTGCAATTAGGACACCCAGCATTTATCATTTGGGAAATAATACATATTTTATATATTTTACTAATATTTATAAATTATATTTTATAAATATTTTCTAAATTTTTGTACAGTGCTTCCAAGAAAATATAAAAATTAAAGGTTTTAGAAATGTAAGATTAAAATGTTTGATGAATCTTATTCTAAAATATTTTGACAACTATAAAATTGTCCTAAAAATATTTTGTTAATATTATGGAAATATTTTATTGCTGTATGGGTGCACTTACACTTTAAAGTTCAACAAACCATTTAATACTATATTTTGGATGACCACAAATCATTATCAGCAAAACAAGCAAAATCAAATCATATTTTAACAAACTTAATAAAAAAATCTGCATAAAAGTTTTAATAACAAAAAATATTAATAATACGACTTAATATGATACATAAAATATAATAATAATTAAAAAAGGTGTCTGAGAATTAAAATAAAAAAATTTCAAATTAAGAAATGTATAAGTAAAAACATTTCTACCTGCTAATAACTAAAACACAATATTACCAAAATGAGTTTCAATTAAATTGTATAAGATAAGCGTTTTATTTTTAATTAAATATTGTATTGCTTTAAAAACTTTTTGTTTAATTCAAAGTACGACAAAAAATCTAAATAAAAGTCTACATGCGGGACGCGGAAAGTATTTGATGACAAAAAAATAAACTTCACACTTATATTTTTCTCACTAAATCCTATTTACTAAGACACAAGTAAAATAATATCTTTACGGCGATTTATATTTCACAATTTTTATTTAACAAAGAAGGACCGTAGAATTAAAAATTAGAAACACTTTGGACTATGCTTGCAGGTTTAAAGCTTAAACTATAGTAATTTCCAAATGCACCAGTGTATTATAGGATAATGTATCAAAAGGGAAAAATCGAAATTCAAACGACAAATTTCAAAAAACCAATTCAATCCATAAAGTATTTCCTTTTTAGTGAAGAAGCTTATAGTTTTACAAAGATGTTATATTTTTTTTCAATGGATAACTTTCCTACCAGTAATTTTGTTTTAATTTATAATGGTAGTAATGTTTCTAAAACGAAATTTGACTGGGAAGGCACTTCAGGGTGGTAATTTTTCGATTTTCTCAAGATTTTTCTCAACAAATATGAAAAACCGAAAAAAAATACAGGAAATTGTAGGAAATGTAGGTATTAGTTAAAATTATTACGGCCTTCTTTTTTCTGTGGGCAACTTGTCTACCAGAAATTTTGCTTTATATTTATAAAAATAAGAATTTTTCTAAAATTAAATTTGACTGAGGAAATACTTATATAAGTAATTTATCGATTTTCTCAAGAGTTTTACCAGAAAATGTGAAAAACCCCAAAAAAAACATGGGATACCCGGGAAAACCTTAGAAAAACGAGGAAATCGGTATATTAAACAAATATTATTAAAGATAATATATAATGCCGATTTAATTAAATTATTTTACCATAATATGACATATATATTGTTGAAAAAACATCATTATTAACTAGGGCTGCACGATTTTTTTTTTTTTTTTTTTTTGTAGTTTCGATTATTCCACTATTTTAAATCGATTATAACCGATAAATCGATCGATTAATCGGTAGTTGATTACATCGATTTATTAAATTATTATAATGACTATAAATATTTTAATGTTGAGGTTATTTTTTGATTTTTCAAGCGGTTTAAAATGAAAAACGTTAAATTTGAAAAACTATGTGCGTTCCATATAGAGTTCAGTACTCGACGGGGGTCAGCACTCAGCACTCGATTAAAAACAATGTTATATTTTTGTAAATTAAATATATTATTACATTAACATACATCGTTCGCCTGGCTGTGATAAAGATGTCAAATTGTTTTTATTTCTGAGCTAAATATTACTAAAAATAAATAAAAAAATACCATCAACTAATCTATTTTCGTATAGTTAATATGTTTTATTGATAATGTTTGTTTTCACTAAAAACTGCATCGTGTCTTTTATGATATACCTAGTAGCAGTAATGCAGTATTATACTGCTAGTCGGTATTCATATAGGTACATAATTAATTATGTATGAAATGTAAATTCTATACGTAGATATACTAGTTCCATTTAACAGTTGAACTATTAAACCTATTATTGTTATATAAAGTAATAATTATTTGTATTATTAATTTCATTATTCATATTCTACACCACGTTTCTACAATTAATTTATTTTATTAATCGATCTAATAATTAATCGGAATATCGGTTAATCAATTTAATCGATTAAAATAATCGCGCAACTCTATTATCAATTGAACTCCTCTCAGATTCGTTTTTTCGTTAGCAATGGTTAATCGTTGCTAACAGATATACATTCAATTACCTATAACAGTGGCTGCACTTGTCTCCATAATCTTGGGACGTCTTTTATTATTATAATCTTACTAAAATAGATAATCAAGCGAATGTTCATTAAAATTATTACATATTATATCAAGAGTAACCCTCTTCCTGTCTATTAACGGCAAACCTCTAGTAGTTAATTTGTGTAAATAATTGAGAATGGAAATTATTATTATTTCACGCGCTAGTATATCAAAAACATTTTGACAATATTCAAGTCTATACGCAGGGAAAAAACAAAAACGTGTGCAAATGACGGGCGCAAACCGGATACAAAAGAGGAGCGCGTGCAAACGATGGACGAACTGCATTAGAAAAACACCCATATACTACGACGGAACGATGACAATTTTTTGAAGTGTATCGATTAATGACCGTGGCAACACTTATAGAATGGTAATGAAAACGATACGCAGGGGACGGCTCGAGTCTTGACGGTAAACATCAATAATTATTATTATATATACGTGTAATTGAGAAAATCGAACTCGCCTTCTCTCTCTCATTCGCAGGTTGACGATAAAGGACTTACAATAATGTCTGGTTTTAGGACCCGATTTATATCGACTATTTAATATAGCAGCTATTGAGTCCGAAATAAATTTGGCTTTGGTGGCGGTATATACGCTCCACACGATTGATCGCGTACGTGAATTTCATAGAATTAATATAAATATTATTTAAAATCTCACTTAGCCTAAATATATAGACAAATTTAGTTTTATGTATTGAAACTGCGTTGATTTATCGTTAATTGACTAAATGGGAGCAATAACGGATGAGATGATGTACGCTTATCAACAATACTATGTAAACATATTAAAGTGTTCATTTTTTTAAAGCTAAAAATGTTTAAAAGCACAAATTGTACAAGAAAATATATTATGATGTGCTAAGTGTTTCAATCGAATCGTTCTACACGAGGAAACGTACACGAATTATGATTTTAGAACGACAAATTTAACTTCACTATAAGTTGTAAATTATCAAATTGTATAAAACTATAATTAGGTACTACGATTCATTTGAACAAAAACTGCAGATTTC